CCTCCTCCTCCTCCTCCTCCTCCTCCTCCTCATGACCTGAAAGCCTTCCTCAAAGATGTTTGGCTTTGGGAGAGGAGGATACTCGAACAATCTTCCTTTCCTGTACAAGAAGAGATGAGTTGAGGTCCATGGTGCCCTCTTTGGCTCCCTCCTTCCCCTACTCCTTCCTCCGCACACAACACGTTAACAGTCTGTTCTACCGCTTTCCCTGTCCGTGTTCCTGTCCCTCCTTCACTCCCTTTCCTCCCTCCCTGCCTGCCTGCCTGCCTGCCTGCCCTCTTCCCTTCCTCCTCTTTCCCTCCTCGTGGCATACCTGCTTAACAAGAACTCTTGGATCTGCTTGCAAGCAGACTCCTCCACAGTCCACATTCTGAACGAGTGGCGATGGTGGATGGCGATCGGAAGCGGCAGCACCTTCCATGGCACCTGAGCATGACCTCCTCCTCTCTCTCCCCCTACCCCTTCTTCCATATCTGCCTTCCTCCCTCCTCCCTGCCTTCCTTCCCTTCCCGTACCGCTCTTGATCGCCCTCTTCCTCCTCGTCCTCGTCCTCGTCCTCGTCCTCGTCCTTCTCCCTATTTCCTCCGCTTCCTCCTCATCCTCAGCTGCTCCAGACCTGGTCTATCTCGAAGTAGTAGCTCGAGGGGAGGGGGATGTCCCTCCACGTGCTCGTGCACATGTGGGAAGGGACGCAGGCCCGGATGTGGATGAGCCCGACGATGCAGCCCATGCGCTTCCGGCCGAAGGGGACGAGAGGACACTCCGGCCAGAGCTGTCGAACTCGGTTCATCACCTGGAGGAGAAGGCGGAGGACGAGGAGGGTGAGGAGCGGGAAGAGTATGTCAAGGAGGAGGAGGAGGAGGAGGAGGAGGAGGAGGAGGAGGAGGGAGTGAAACGTGACATCATGACAGGAAGAAGGGGAAGGGGAAGGGGAAGAGGAGAGGTGGAGCAGAAAGTCAGATCGGTTGGAGAAACGACAGAAAGAGTCAGCGATGTTTTGTCACAAAGATTGGGACGGCTGGAACAGGCTGGGATTGAGAATTTCCAAACAAATGTTGGGGGAGGTAGCAAGGCTTTCGAAATTTCGAAACGCAATAGCAACGCAGCAGCTTCGCTGATTTCCCAGGACCATCTCATGAGCGACTTACCTGATAGTTGGTGAAATGATCTTGACTTCTACCGATGTGAAGGGCAAGCCAGAGGCCCTCTGAGGTTGGGACCTTGACATTGTAGTTTCTCCCTTCGATCTAATCTCATCACCATCATCTCCCATCATGACCGTCCCCTCCTCCAACATCTTCATCCCCCCCCCTGCCCCTCCCCCAACCTTCCTCAGTCCGAGCAGCGTGGCATCTGCAAGAGGCTGTTGGATGGTGATCGCCTTGAGCCGAGGATGGCTGAATTGACTCCTCCTTATGTCTGCCGTTCTCTAGGCACGAGCATCAACACAAGTCGTCAAGTCAGCACACATCTTACCTCATCCAGGTATTCATCGTATAGGATGTTCCCCTCGTCGTCAAGCAGCTTGTTGAGCTGCGGAGAACCATTTATGACACGTCATCGCTCGTCGCAATGAAAACAGTCAGACAAAGAGAGAGACAGACAGACAGACAGACAGAGGCACGGTCCAGTCAGTCAGTCAGTCAGTCAGTCAGTCAGTCAGTCAGTCAGTCAGTCAGTCAGTCAGTCAGTCAGTCAGTCAGTCAGTCAGTCAGTCAGTCAGTCAGTCAGTCAGTCAGTCAGTCAGTCAGTCAGTCAGTCAGTCAGTCAGTCAGTCAGTCAGTCAGGATCACCTCGGAGTCACTGTAGTCGTCAATGACTTCATCTTTCTTCTGGATCGGCCGCCATGTATGGGCATACATCAAGTACCTGGAAGAGAGGGTTGCATGCCGTTACAGGTTTGCAAGCCCGACGCTGCTCCAACGTACAAGAATCCGTCATCGTCCTTCTTCTTGTCGTAAAGCTCCTTCATGTCCTTTCCAGCAGCTGTCATACTTCATCAATCTCGCTTCTCCTCGTCCTCTCCTCCTCCTCCTCCTCCTCCATCACCCATCTCCTTTCCGCTGTCGCAGAAGAGAGTGATGGTTCCTGTCGTGTCCATCCCATCCTCCCAAGGGAGTCGCTTCCGCAAGATCTGGAGGTTGAGGTCAATGATGTCTTCTCCAACATCCCTACAGCCTGCGCTACCACCACACCACTACGACCTCGCTTGTTCTCGTCCTCGTCCTTGTCCTCGTCCTCGTGCTCTTCCTGCTCCTCGTCCTCGTCCTGCTCCTCGTCCTTGTCCTGCTCCTCGTCCTCGTCCTCGCTCGTCCTCGTCCTCGTCCTGCTCCTCGTCCTCGTCCTCGTCCTGCTCCTCGTCCTGCTCCTCGTCCTGCTCCTCGTCCTTGCCCTCGTCCTCGTCCTCGCTCGTCCTCGTCCTCGTCCTGCTCCTTGTCCTCGTCCTGCTCCTCGTCCTCGTCCTGCTCCTCGTACTCGTCCTCGCTCGTCCTTGTCCTTGTCCTCGTCCTCGTCCTCGTCCTCGTCCTGCTCCTTGTCCTCGTCCTCGTCCTCGTCCTCGTCCTTCTCCTCGTGCTCGTGCTCGTGCTCTTCCCACAACAACATCTCCCCTCTCCCCATCCTCGTCCCACCCTCCTTCCGCAGCCACTTACAGTCTCACCTGTACGAACTGTTCGAGGGGAAGGGAGGGAGGAACAAGGAACTTTGGCTTCTGTGTCTCTGGGAGGGGTATGCTCTCCAGGAGCTTCTCGGCGATCACCGGCAGCCCCCTTCCCGTCTAGCAGCGGGTCAGAGGAGACGAGCAAGGCACTGGGTCAGGGCAAGCCTCTCACACTCAAGATATCATCAGCCATCTTTTTGCGCTGCTCGAACGTATACTTCTCCTTAAACTTGCTGCGGATCTGCCAGAGCCTGTCAGGCCTTTCAGCCTCCTTCTCACCTCCACGCTTGACACCTCGTCGTAGCTGTTGGCCTGCTGACCATTCATTCGCGTCCCCACGAAACCAGTGGGCAAGCACAAGACCCGTCAAGACCCCTTATGTTCCACAGAACAACCTCACCTGCTCCTCTCCTTCCCCGCCGCGGAGCCAGAGGCGCCTGGTCGCCGTCTGAACAAGCCAGCTGGACGGGCTCATCTCATGACGGCCAGCTGAGCGATGACTGGTTGCCTTCCAGGGTGTCTGACCGTAGGCCTGAGGACGGATGAGCATGTGCATTCGAACTTAGCTCACTATAGACATCACCGTCGCTTGCCACTGCCAGGATGCCGAGACAGACCGTATCGGCTCACTGACATGGTCGAGCTTCGCGTGCAGCACTATGCTGTCAGAGCATGCGGCGATCCACAGCACCGAGGCAACGTGGAGTGCGATGTGTGTTCTGGGTCGACTTTTGGAATTATCTCGCTGCTATGAGAAGTGTGTGAGGGGATGGGAGGGTTCTGATAGACATAATACCTGTGAGACCATACTCCCCGCATCACTCAGCCTCACATGATTCTCCACCATTCCGCACCGAAGGAATTGTCGATGCTTGTGTTGTTCAGCATCCCTTCTTATGCAGATTCCTCATATCTCTCTCCTCTTCCTCGCATTCCTCTTCTCCCCCTCGCCCTCCCCCGCCGCTCCTCGTCTTCGCTGTCCGCCATCGTCCCAACAGCATCGTAGCTCACGTCGAGTCGCATCCCCCTTGCTCTGAGGCGGACCGACTTTTCAAGTCTGACTCTAAAACGATATTTTAAAAATAACTCATTTTTGTTCCCCAAGTCCTGATATAAAACCAATAAGTGTGAAGTAGTACTTTACAGTTGATACAGATATTTAGTCAATATCTTGTCACCCCTTCGTTGACCCGTTGTCTGCATGTTTTTACCGAGGTGGGTAGTGAGAATGACTATCATTTCCCCGATTCAAGAAACCTGATCCCTTCAGATTGGACCCGTTCCTTTGACCACCCTACCCAACAATTTCAGTCATTTTATCAGTTTAACTTACCCGTACAATTATCACCCCACCGTCTTGTACTCGCTACACTGTGAGTTTTATAGAACTACCCCTACCCCTGAGTGTCATCTCTGGTCAAACACCCCACCCTCAATATAACAGGACTTATTGACTTTAAAGTACCCGTACTGAACATATCCCTACCCTATATGTCCCCGTCCATCACTCTACGTCGTGATCCCTTTTTATTTCACCCCGCGCCACAAATGCATCTGCTTCCACAAATGCATCTGCTTGCATACAGCCTAGCTGTATGCAGAAGATCGTCAGCGAGTAGCGAAGAGGAGGGGAAGGAGGAGTAGGAGCAGAAGACAGTAGAAGTTCAGAGCAGAAACAACGTCATCAAGTTCTTCGTAGGAAGTAGTTGGCATGATCAAGAACCTTGACGGAAGGTCGCAGGATCCGTAGGGTGTGATAGTGTTGAGCCAAGAACATCATCATTTATTGTTGTAGTTCTTTTCAAAAACAACTTTGCATGCAGGATGTATGAGATGGAGAGGACGATTTTCACTGCAATGTAGTGCTTACCACGAGCAAAATCGGTCGACCAGACCAACATTCAAAATTGTGCTGTTCATGAATTCTGCTCTGTCATCTTGGCCATGCTGTGCGGTTTGCATTCATACGACAGGAAATTCCCTATGTGCATCCTCATGATGTTCGCATCCAACCTGCCTTGTGCTCCGCTTTCTGAACTGCTGCTGCAGAATGCCGTCGGATATCGAGGAAGAGGAAGAAGGGATTGCAACTCCGACAGACCCTCCTCCTCCTCAGGGCGACGTGGGGGAGCATGTCAAGAGTGCCCTTGCGAACCTCTTCGACAAGTTCCATGTCGCTCCCACCCGAGGTCAGTCGGTTCCTGTCAATGATCCGGAGGAACCGTCCGACTCCGACGAGGAGGAGAGGCAGGGGGACGACAAGGTTTTCAAGAGGACGGCAGCCTCGTGTGATGTGAATGGGTCGAAGGATCAGGGGCTCTTTGAGATCGGGAAGGAGGCAGGGAACACGCCAAAGACGACTATGTCCTCTCGGTCGCCCGACAACCATGTCTCCTCCTCCTCTGCTGAAGCCAAGACTGTCACCGAAGAATCTACTCGATCTCCGCTATCCGAGCACACAGCCTCCGAGGGCAAGTCAGCCGAAGAGCCTCCTGCTGTCCTCGCGCCAGAATTCCCGACGGTTTCTGGGGCAGGGGCCGCTGCTGATGCTGCAGCGGAAGGAATCAAGGAAGGGAAGATGGAATCGTTGTCTCCCGAGCAAGTCGATACCCAACTGCCAAAGGCTCCCAAGGAAGAGGAGAAGAAGAGGAGGACTTCAGAGACGAGGAGGATGAGCGATGGCGTGTCGCCGGCAGAGAAGATTGAGTCGGTGTCTGAGACGGTGGGAGGGAACCTGCGGGAGGGACATCAGAAGCCAAGAGTCGTGCTGGCCGCAGCGCCGCCCGCTGCGGGGGTTGGAGGAGGGACAATCAAGAAGTCTGAAAACAAGGAGGAGGAAAGAATCTTCGCCCCTGGCCAGGGCGGATCATCTCCGTCATCCCTTTTTCAGCCCAATGTAGAGGACAGGAAGTTGGAGAGGCGTTCTAGCTCCGGGCAGTTGAAAGGTGTACTGAAGCAGCCGTCTGTTGATTTGGAGAAAGCCGCTGTTGAAACTGCAGGTAATTTCTCGCCCGCTTCTCCCTCTCTCCCATCCACTACGGTCTTCTTTCCTCCTTGCTCTCGTGGGATGTCTTCTTCTCCCCTTGTCCAGCTGAGTTAATGCCCTGCGTAAGAGTTGGAGGCGCAGGAGCTGCGGTAGTGATAGAGCAGGAGAGGAGAGAGAAGAGGGAGGATTGCTGCGGTAGTGATAGAGAAGGAGAGGAGAGAGAAGAGGGAGGATTGCTGCGGTAGTGATAGAGAAGGAGAGGAGAGAGAAGAGGGAGGATGGAGAGGTAGGGGAGAGGAAGGAAGGGGGGAGGAGTCCTCCCCCTCTCCCATGTGCTCTGGTTCTCAAGATCCTAATGATTTCTGTGACTTGTTCTCGTCAGCTCCGTCTGGTATGCGTTCCTTCCTCCTCGGTCTTACCGCAGGCCTTCTCTTCGCAATGGCGCTCGCAGCTCTCATCGTTGCTATTGTATCGCCTGCTCTCTGTGTTCTGCTAGTCGCCATCGTGACGAACGTGTCAGGTTGCCTTCCGGAGGGTGTGAGAAGCTTGACTGGTGTAATGACTGATTGCGAACGAGAAGTACAACATTTTTGGTCTCATGCCAATACCGGCGATTCAATAATATGGTGCTCCTCTCGCTATCATTTCCTTCCATCCTCCTACCCCCATCATGCCCACCACGCCCCTCCTCATCGTCACTCTCAATCGCTTTCATCATCCCCTTCCTCTCCCCCTGTTCATTTATTCGCCAGCTCATCGAAGTTCGGCTCATATCCCTTTTACTCGAGGATGTGAGCTCCAGCAGAGGCGTGACAGACGTAGAAGGTCGCCTGGCAGCCACGGGTGAGGAGGAGGAGGAGGAGGAGGAGGAGAGACGACAACAAGGGAGCAACGCGATCGACCCGTGAGAAAGTGCAAAGCTCGGAGGGAGCGCATTGAGCAGTGGAGGACGCAGAGGCGGGACGCCTACCTGCCTGCCCCCAGCTCTCTTGGGGTAGTTCTCCTCCACCGCCTTGCGGATTTCTTCCACCTGCACCCCAGCACAGCGTCAGGGTCGGTGGCGGGAGCGAGCTGGACCTTGAGCAACTGACCTTGCTTTCGGGAGTGAGGCAGACGACGGAGCCTCCGAAGCCTCCGCCTGTGATGCGGACGCCGCCCTCCTCCCCTACCACGGCCCCGATGATGTCGACCAGCGCGTCGATCTCAGGGGTCTGCGGGTTCATCAAGGTCATGAGGAGCAGGAGGAGATTGGAAAGGAGGAAGAGGAGGATGACTTGAAGGAGAGCTTTGTTGGAGGGGGTCAGAGGAAGACGATTGGTATGATTGTAGGGAGAGAGGCGGGAGGGAGAGCAGGAGCAGACGGGAGAGAGAGGGGTTGCGGAGAGAAGAAGGGACGAGGAGGAGGATCAGGGAGGAGGAAGAGGAGGAGGAGCTGACCGAGACTTCGAAGTCATTCTTGAGGGACATATGTGATGCAAGCATGAGCTTGCCGACGGTCTTCAGGTCGCCTTGCTGCTGGGAGGTGAGGGCCAGCTGGGAGAGCTGAGGTGACGTCACCTTGAGAGCCTCTACGGTCTTGGAGACGCGATCGTTCTCCAAGACGACGTGGCGAGCTCGTTTGAGGACGACAGGGTCCAGCTCCTTCAGCGCCGTCGTCATGAGCAGAAGAAGGTGAGCGGGTAGGGGAGGGAAGGAAGTCAAAAGTGCCGATGAGAGCAAGGAAACTCAGGGAAACGACAAGAGAAGATAAAGTGAAGGGGTAAGGGGAGGAGGATTGCAGAAGGAGGGGGAGGGGGAGGGATCAAGATAAGAGGCGGAGCGTGGAAGGAGGACGGATTGAGAAGTTGAGAAGGAAGGCAGCAAGTGTCGGGGTAGTTGGGTACCTTAGAGTCTCGCTCCAGTTGTTCTGGGGTTACTTCCCTGAGATAAGAGACGCCGAAATGACGAGCAGCTTGTTCGCACTGCCGTAGGATGTCAAACAAGGACAAGGACGAGCATGTGACGAGGAGAGAAGGAGCGAGAGAGATCAAGATACGAGTGAGAGAGGCAAGGAGAGGAGGAATCGGAAAAAGGAGAGTGAAGACGGAAGGGGGGAGGCAAGGCCACCTGTTCTCTACGTGCATTGTACTCCGAGTCCAACCCAGCAAGTTCGTGCTTGGCGTTCGAGTTCACGATGACAACTGCACAGATCGTGATGAGAGAAGAGTAGAGGCCGGGGAGGAAATGAGTCAGAGCAGTAGAGTTGCTGTAAGAGCTGTATGGATGAAGACGAGGATGCGGGGGAGGGAGAGGGGAAGGAGCAGAAGGAGATGTGCTGGGAGAGTGGGGAATTTTCACCTGCGACTCCTTTGGGGATTTCGACGTTCTTAGCGGAAAGGTCGCGGCAGTCAATCATGAGAGCCTTCCCCTGTCAATCCGACTTGACAAGCCGTTGACAACATGGGGTGGATTTTCTCACCTCGACGCCCATGGAGCTGATGTACTGATCCATGATGCCACACTTGCAGCCTACCCAGTGCCTGTAGGAAAGGAGATGAGGAGGAGGAGGATGGAGGAGGAGGAGGAGACGGCAAAGTTCGGAGAAAGGAGGAGCAAGGTA